GCACCCGAGGTTGATCGCAGATCTCGACCACAGCGATGATGATTATATGCCACCGCCTACTACCATGGAAGCGGTATGTCTCATAAAATATTTATCGTTGTTTTTTAATTAAGTTTTATATGTTGTTATTGTATTTCATGTTTTATTTTTTGTTGTATGCAGTGGATGGGAAAGATAATGCAAGACGTACAGAAACTCTCTTTGGAGAAGGACAACATGAGTGCAACAGTGAGAGCTGCTGTTGGTAGTTTGGAACAGACCCTTGCACATTGGGAGTCGGCGTCGAAGAGGGATTACTGATGGTTTTGGCATTTTATTTATAGAGCACTTTAAATAATATCGTTTTAATTTTTTTAAATTGGACATTACGTTTTAAGTTTGTAACATTTTAGATTGTTGTTTTAGCTTTCAACTTTGACATATTATCATTGCTGTTTTTAAATTTTGACATAACCGTTCATGGATCCGCGCAACTTACCCATGCAACATATAAATGTAGTAAGCAATACAATATATATAATTAATGTTCTCATTTAAAGAGCAACGTGCAAATAAGGTTACATAGAAACAATGTAAACATGAAAAACTAAAATGTAGCTAGGGTGTTCCATTCGTGGATCCGGTCATGATATAGCGCATCCAAACCCTCTACGCTCGCTGTGCGAATGGTGTACCACCGAGGTATAATCGGTGGCACATGAAAATCGGATGACATGTCTAGTCGAATGAAATGTCTGTATGACGACCCAAGAAACGCAATAGCTACCTCTCTGACCGGTGTAGTGACAGTCTCACGCGAACGCCAAGGGAGAACCGTGGTACAAGGATAATAAGCTTGACTATGCAATCCCAGCCCGAAATGCATGACTGTGCACTTGTAAATGTTTGCAACGGCAAACAGATCTAGGGGCGCGTCAAAATAATGATTTTGACCGCAAGGTCCACCTCCCCACCGGATACGCCGCAAAGCGCCATCCAAGTCATCCTGGTACACATGACGATAAACATTTCGGTTAGAGGCAATTTCGCTGTACATCAACTGACGCACCAAACCGTAGTTGTCTTCGCCCATTTGAAAAACATCAGCCACGACCCGGAATCCGCAGTTACCATCTCCGACTACATCATTCTACCCTTCCAAGTACGGTGTGATGATGTTAGGTATCCTGTCCTTGTACGGAAACTGATCAACATCGTTTCTTCCTATTCACCATATAATTAAACACAGTTAAGAAGGCAGAAGTAACCTTATAAACAATGTGCAATGTAAAAAACCAACCGTACCAGTTCTCAGGGGCATATTCACAGACGATGAAGATTGACTACGACTAGATGACGATGTCCGACCACGACCACAACCACGACCAAGACCACGAATGTACTCAAACATACTCCTGTTCCGCCGTTGGCGACCTCGAGGACGGTCAACTCCTTCGGGTTCCTCAAAATCTAAGGTAGACGTGTGGAACATGTCATGAAGTACATGAGTAGTGTCACGAATAATAGAAGGATGACTGGAGGACACTCAGTCGTACATCGAACGAAACTGCTCCAACTCCTCCTGTTCACGGTCGACCGTTTGAGTATCTGCATGCTCACCAATAACGAGCGTCCGCCAGAATGAATGAACCTGATCAACATGTAACGACGCCCTTTCTTCTGTAATAACGCGGTGAATGGTGCATGCGCAAGGTAATCCATGAGTTACTGAAATAGCATACCCGCACCGAGCATACACTTCGTCAGCCAAGTCCCTCATCTTGTTCAGCTCAGTTAGAATCAACCCCAAGCAGTAGTGCGACACACGACCATGGAGAATCTTAAATATGAAATGGCTATACATCGTACCATGTCGTCGTCTGGAGTCCTCTAGAGAGTTCCTGATGCCGTTCTTTTGAGTTTCAATTGACTTGTTAAGTCTATCGAACAGTGTATCCAAAGCAGCGGTCGAAGAATCAATCCAGTCCTTGGTAGCTCTATGAGCGCTCTCAACTCTACATGTTGTAGTGTTCCCGAAATGAAGTACTTGGTTTGTCCAATATTTGACAAACTTTTCCCTGTGAGGGACCCATTGCTGCATCACATAGTCCAACAGTGCCGGACACCACTGGTATGAATCCCTGAAGTTAGCCAATTCTCGCTCGTACACTGCCTCTGTGGTAGCTTGTAGGATCTTCCGCCACTTACCATTCACCAATCTCTCTACCATTTCCAAATTCTTGTTGAAAAGGTTGTAGGCTTTCACTTTCACGCAGTTGTTGATGTGCCATGTGCACAACAAGTGCTTCAACTCTGGAAACAACTCCCTAATGGGGGCAAAGAGACCTCCCTCACAGTCACTAACGATGGCTGCTGGATGAACATTAGGCCCGATGTAGTTTCTCAGCTTCTCCAAGACCCAATAATAACTTGGAGCCGTCTCATCCTTCATGATTGCATGACCAATCAAAAAGTTCTGGTTCGTTGGAGTCATCCCCATGATCTCAACCAGTGGGAACTTGTACTTGTTTGTCTTGTACGTTGAGTCGATCAAAATCACAAATGGCCAAGACTTGATCATATCAGCACAATCAGGATGCACAAGGAAAAGATGAGTCACCTCCGCTGTATCTTCATCAGAATCAAACCAGAACAGGTAACCACGTGATTATGCCTGGTGTAGCAGCTGCTGTATAGGGTTCCTTCCCTCTGACCGTTCAAACCTGAGTTGTTGTCTGACGTTGTAGATGTGTCTTCGGTTTGGATGGTCTTCTGGAAATTTCTCTAACACAGATGCTAATATTTTAGCAGGCTTGACTTGAGCATCACTCATTTCTTTCACAACTAGTTTCGCAGCAGGACTTAAGCCGCTCAGCTGTCGATGGCCACCTTCATATACTATCATCTCATGGTTGTGATACCCCCATTTAGAGTAACCAATCACTTCCCCAACCGTCACGACTCCGTAGTTGTCGAACCTTTACTCTGAACTCACACCCACAACCTTTCCGCTTTGTATCAAACCGAGTGGCTGTACGAAAATCTCTTTCTTCTCTTTTGCGATAACGGTCGCATCTCAAAATGCGATCCGTTCTACCATCCCGTTGAGATTTATGAGTTACTACTACCAAGCAAAATCCAGCTGTAATTGCAACCTGTTTTGCCCAATCAATCGCTTGTTGAGCATCTTCGAATGGACCATCATGTCCAAATATCCCACTGTAATCATTTCCGTCTCCACCATAATCCTGCATCAATTATATATTATAATAAATACATTTAACGGATAATACATTTAATTTCTATATTTACACAGAATTAACACAAAGTTAAAAACATAATTATGTATAATATTATTCATACACATACACATACAAATTTTAAACACAATCATTTATAAAAGTCACATAAACAATTAAATATTTTGGTATACATTAACACAAATCTACTCACAACATAAATAAAAACATTAAATTATTAAACTTAATATAAAAAAAAACCGTTTTGAATTTTCAATTTGAAATAAATTAAAAAAAATAAAAATAAAACCATTTCCAATTCTTTTTTAATACAATTTCGAATTGTCAAACTTAATTTTTAAAAAAAAACCATTCTCAATTTGCAAACTTAATTTTAAAAAAAACCCATTTCGAATTTTCAAACTTAATTTTAAAAAAAACTATTTCGAATTTTCAAACTTAATTTTTAAAAAAACCATTACGAATTTTCAAATATAAAACAATTTCGAATTTTTTTAAAAATTCATTTTCGATTTTTCAAATTTTAAAAAAAAAAAAAACAGCAGCAAAATTAGAAAAGAAAAAAAAAAAAAAACAGGGGCTGGCGTCTGCCACGGCCGCCACAGCCACTGGACTGGCGCCTGGCAGGGCCGCCACAGCCACTAGACTGGCGCCTGGCCAGGACGCTTGTCTGGTGGTGCTGGCGTCTGGGCTGGACGCCGGTGCAGTGGTTTTGGCGTCTGGCTTGGACGTCCATGCTACGGTATTGGCGTCCAACCTAGGCGCCGACGCCACTGCACGACCACCTCTTTCAGACGCCGTTACGTAAACCGTGACTTTTAACGGTGACTTACCTCGTTTTCCGTCGACGACGACGTACCTCCGGCGTCCCCCGCTTCTCCGGCCTGCCCTCCGGTCTCCCCCGGCGACCCAGTACGGCTCCACATTTTTTAAATCGTGATTTGTTCAATTTTAGAAAATGGGCATAATTGTCATACCAAGTCATATTTGTGGGCTTTATATGGTAATTTGCGGGCGATGTTTAACAAATCCCCAAACTTTTGTCTCGACAAATGCGCAAATCCAAGTGTAGCTTAAAAAAAAAAAACAAACCCAGAGGGAGTATTTTCTAGCAAATACCTAGACCTTATTTTACTAGGTAAACCTAAATAAATGACGTACTTATATTTGAAATTGACTTAAATCAAATAAATTATCCTTCTTGTTGCTTAAAATTGGTCCGATATCATCTCAAATCTTAGTTAATTTGTATGATAAAATATCCTTGTTGCCGCTTACAGTTTGTTTCAATATCGTCCCAAATCCTATGTAATTTATATGCTCCCATATCTTTACTCAATTCTAGTCTTTTATCATCGCAAATCTTAAGTAATTCTTATGGTTAATTATCCTTATCGTGACTTAGAAAGTGGTTCGCCTCAATTCTTAGGTGATTTACATTGTCCCACACAAATAAAACGACAAAATTATATACTCACTCAATATGATTTTCTTATTTACCCGATCAAATAAGCACTAAAACAACTAAAACAAGAAATGACCAGCTAAAACCATCTTAATAACACTCCTAAATATCATATCATATTTGTTCAAAAAAAAAAAAAAAACCCATATCATGTATTATAATAGCAAACAAGATTTAATCATATTAATAATTTGCCTCATATATGTGTCCAAAAAAAATAATTTCCCTCATGTAATTTCCTTTTTATTACCTTTACAAAGAGTAACAAAAAAAAAAAAAAAAAAAAAAAAAACCAAAGAGGATTCTTACAAGTTTGAAAAAATGGTAGTTTTTGTCGTGGTGTTAGAATTAATTTAATGATATGCTGGAATTGGACATTATATTGGTAAATTGAAGATTACTGACTCCCCACCCCTCTTTAATCACATCTCTCTTTCTTTGCACCTTGTTTGTTTTTCAATCTCTCTCTCTCTCTCTCTCTCCTCATCTTCCAACCCCTTCAACCTCTCTCTTCCTCCCATTGCTCAGTGGGTTTTGTGTTGTGTTGTCTTCTTTCTCTCTCTTCTTTCTTCTCCCTTTTTTCTTCTTTTTAGAGAGAGAGAGAAAACTTTCAATCAGTAGGTTTAGGGTGACTTCTTATCTTACCCATTTTTGATTTTTCCCCTTCACCACCCTCTTTTTCTGCCAAAATTCTTTTTTTTTTTTTTTAAACAATTTTTTTGGGATTTTTTTGAGGCAGATCCATTTGTTAAGGTATGTTCTTCATTTTAAAATTTTTGATTTTCTTTCAGATGATCGGTTGCTGGTTTTGCTGTTTGTGTTTTGTTGATTTTTTTTTTTTTTTTGTTCTGGGATTGGTTTTAGTCCTCGGATTTTAAGCTTTTCTACTTGAATTTATGGACGTTTTTTTTTTTTTTTTTTTTTTAAATTTGTTTTAAATTTAAGATTTTTATTTTTGATTGTAGATTCTTCAATTTACTTGAATTTAGCTATTTTGTTAATTAAATATTTTTTTTTCTTTATCAGGCAGTTATGAAGTCTCTGAATCTGTCAGGACCCTATTTGATATACTGTATATTAATAGTTTTCTGAAAGTTTCGACCTTTGTGACATTTGTATGTGTCATTTTTTGTACAAATTTGTATGTTTTAAAAAAAATGCATGTTTGAGGGAGTAACTTAAGTATGAGTAATAATTAACTTGGTTTCTTGCTGTGTATAATTAAAGTTGATTACTTGTTAACGTATCATGTTGGGATTGATTTTTCTGCATAGTTTTTGGGTAGATTTATTAGTAAGTGAGCATTTGTTGATGATTTATCATGTTGGTATTGCCTGTTGCTGCGTATTCTGTGGGTTGTTGCTGTATTAATGCGAGTATATTTATTGATGATTTGCTTTCTTTGGAATGGGCTAGAGAAAAGCTGTAATTTTTATAGTGAATGCGGTTTTCGATGGCAGGGAAAGCATGTTGTTTATTAGTGTTGTATAATGTATGGTGCTGGCATAAATTATATTGATTAACCTTGGAGTAAAATATTGTTGGTTAATTGAATGTATGCGCATGGTGGCTGTCTTGGTAGGGTATATTAGTATAGATAGCTTGAGGGGAGTTAAATTATGTTCTTTGCTTGTTAGTGAACTTTTGAAGATCACACTGTTTAATTGTGCAAGCAAAACAGCAATCGTTTTGGGACTAAAGCTTTGTTGTTGTTTGTATGTACGATTATGTATCTTTCCTTTATAGTCTCTATATTATTTCTCATTTTATTATCATTGTGCATGAGTTGATAATATTTGTAAGCTTTAATGTTTAACTTGTTACTATTTTTTTTTTGTCTAGCAATTGTCTTGTAATTTCCCCATCATTTGATTTATATCCTTTCAGTTTTTGTATGTGCTTGGGACTGGGAAAACTTGTTTTTAGTCTATATGATTCTCTATCGTTGGATGTTGTTTATTTAATTAGTATTTTGTTTGTACTAAGCTATGTGGTGCCTTATCACTGAGTTGATTATGTCCTCAATACACTTACTTTGTCTCGTTTTATCCGTGGTTGCAGTTTGAGAATCTCCAAAACACACCAGTGGTTTTTCTTTGATTTCTCTTGCAATATTTAATCATTGTCTAAAGAAATAAGCACAGGTTGTGATGCAGGGACAAAGGAGTACCATTGGTTCCCTGCCTGATTCAATAAATTTTGATTATGGGCCTCCATCAAGCAATGTGGGTGTAGATCAGCAAATTTGCTGGAATAATCACCGGAATCCTGCTGAAAGCAGGTTGTCTGACTATAGGATTTCAGCTACTAGTTCAGATACATATATGGGTGGTGTAAGCCAAGAAGGGAGAAACTTTAATAGATGGAATATTGGTGAATCAAGTTCTACTAATCCTCAGAACTTGGTTAACGATGATGACCGAATGACTCAAAGTGGATGGCCTCCTTCATTGAATGGCTCTGTTGGTGCTGCATTAAGGCTAGAGGAGCAACGATATGAGCCTACAAATTTTGTTTCACACACTGGTGTAAACTTAAACCTTAGCAACAACCAGGTTGTAACTGGGCCCTCTTACATGCGAACCCCTGACACTGAATCTGCTTCGCAAAATCTTGACTTAACTGACGGAAATTTTCATAGAGTTGATGATAGTATGGACTGTCCTAATTTGTCGAAATCTATTGGCTTTGAGAGCAAATTTCATCCTTCAGCTAGTAGCTCTTCTGATCCTTTTGCTTCTTCATCTGGAGGTGGTGGTTTCCTTGTTGAAGAGGATGAGGGTAGGCCTGGTTACTCATTGGATGGTCGTCGTCTTTCTTGTAAGAGAAAGGCTTTTGAAGGAAATGCTGGACAGTCTTCTACTAGTGGAAATTGCTTTGCAAGGGCAGAAGGTGGCATGTGGCATGCAGCTCCTCCTCGCTATGATGCCAGCAGCAGTGTTAATGTATCCATTTCATCAGAAAGTTCTCCGAGCATTAACCCTCCTGCACAGGTCAATCCGCGACTTGGATTAGGCATGGGTGGAGGAGTTCCTGCTGATAGTCTTCGTCCTCTTACTGTGCCTGGAGCTTCAGAAAGTACTCAGAGGAACTATCGTTTGAGGGTGAATCCCTCAGTACAACCAGATTTTTTGCCAAATAATTCATTTTCATCCAATCTTGGTGGCAGTGCTGCCCGACGACCTGATAGCTCGTCAGCTCATCAGCCATTAAGATTTGTGCCGATAACTCCTCTTGATTTGATGTCACCAAATCCCCCGGAAAGCTCAGTTCCACAAAGTCAACCAGTCATTTTGCGTGCTGCCCTTCGGCGAAATGTGCAATCTCACAGGTGGAATGGAGCCACTAATTTAAGGGCTGGAAGTTCATCAAATCCTGCTCCTTCTGGTGGGGATACTGTGTTGCCTGAAGATTTGAACTCTAGAAACCTGTCGAGAAATATTGCAGAACATCCTATGTTTGTACCTCCAGTAGAGGCTAGAAATTTGCCTCAAACTCCAACAAATTGGAGTTTAAATAATGGTAATGTTAGTATCTCTAGAAACATTCCATCGAGCTCTCGCACTGGGTCTGCTTCAGCTTCCCATACTACACCAGGACCCAGTTGGGCCTCTCACCGCCATCCTTCATCACAGTACTCCCGTAGATTATCTGAATATATTCGTAGATCATTGCTATCTGCAGCTGGGTCGGACATTGCAGGCCAGAGCAGTAACAGTGGCCAACTTCGTTCAGGTCCATCTTCCTCGCAAGATGGTATACTTCCTTCTAGCGGTGGAAACCAGGGGCATAATCAGTTACACTCCAGGTCCGCATTGTGGAGTGAAAGGCAAGGTGATGGTGCTGTTGGGATTCCTTATTCTTTGCGGGCCTTGGCAACTGCTGGTGAAGGAAGAAGCAGGCTTGTTTCTGAGGTTTGTTTGATATTCTGCTTCTCTGTGGTTTTGAATGTCTCTGATGATATATATATATATATAAAACAATAATGTCTGGTTTGGGGCAATTCTCTTGGGTGTCAACGTTGCATGGCAACTGTGTTTGGATTGTGAATGAATTTCCTATCAAGGCCAAACTGTTTACCCTAGTAGTACTCTTTTTACAGCTACTTGCCATGTTTGGTTGGTATAATTATATGAGCCAAATTCACTACTAATAATGTTTCAAACATTAGGAATCTAGTTTATAACATCTTTGAACTTTTCAAATAATGTTAAATTCTTGGAATCCTTTTTTCACTTATCCCTCTTTCCCTTCAACTTATTTTAGCCATTTCCTGTGTGTAAACAGTTTGATGAATGATTTTGAGCTTACTGTTGCTTAAAGGCATTTATTAGTTACAAATGTTTTGAATCACACCTTGCTTTTACTATTTTAATGTTGACGACGCTTTTATACTTAATATTATCAAAATTTATATAAAACAAAACCTTGTGCTGTAACCTATCACTATTTCACAACTATACAAGGTGTATAAAAGTACATTTGTTATTTTGGTTTATAAATTTATGAAAACAATTATAAAAGTGTAAATACGAATTTTGAATTGGCAATATGCCAGCAATTCATGCTATGACAGCCAAAACTTATAATGTATTTAGGAGAGATAAACCATGTATTATAAAGAGTGAGTTAGAGAAAGAGCTTTAGTGAGTTAATGTTTAATAAATATACCGAACACTTGTTTTTTTAATTTCTTTATTTTAGTAATTAGAAATCTTTCTACTGATACTATAGCAAAGAGAGATCAACAAGGCCGAGTGAACTAGATAGCTAATTATAATGAAATATCTGAGTGAGAAAGACTGTGCACGTGATGGAGGATAGAAGATAGAGTGCGATTGTGAGGAGTGGGATTAGAGAGTGGGATTTCTATCAATGGTTGGAATTTAGGGAGTAATACATCTCAAAATAGTTTTCTTTTTTTTTTTTTTTTTTTTTTCTTTTTTCCCTTCTGTAATTATATGGTTTTTAAGGGCTTTGTGGGTTATGAACTTATTCATATTGGGCCAATTGCCTGCTCCATTTAATGTAAAATAGGATTTATATTGTCATGTTTGGTTTGTGAAACCCTAGTTTTGACCTGATCCATTTAGGTTGTTGTATCGGGTCAACTTTTGCTAATCTAACCATAGTATGCTAACTACCATGAGTTGCTTTGGAAGTAGCCTATGATAAGTTAATTTGTCTATCAATCCTTTGTTTGGCTTCTTTTATTTTATAATGAAACTCGAACAAAAATACTGAACGTGATTTATTATTGAAAAATATATGCTGGTTATCCATGGTTGGATATTCCATTAATCAATCAATCAGTCAAAGCCTTGATCCCATAAGTGGGGTCGGCTACATGAACCAAAAGTGATTATTCCGTATAATCATCCGTTTGATATTCTGTTATTAATTTTGAAAAAATCTAAAGGTCCTTGAATTAAATTCTATGTATAGTAAGAGCTCTGTGGCTAAAAAGCTGAATTATTTGACCCCCTCAAATTTTCAATTATTACAGTTATTGTTTATGGAGGGGAGCTATATGCTGTAAGGCTTTGAGAAGTGTTTTGCCAAGTAATAGGATTTGTCCAGAAATTATTTAGACTGAACTTTGAAATCTAGTTTTCAGGCAAAAGTTGTTTTTTTTTTTTTCTGCTTCTGGTTAGATGGCATTCTGTGCAGCAACTCATAATAAAATCGATCACTAGTGCTGTATAGAGAAGTAGATAGCAACACTTATGTTTTAGTGGCGGTGGTTACTGTTGTAATAATTACCTTAGAAGTAGAGTATCCTTACCTTCAGTTTGGTTCTACTCTTTAATTTGCAGAGAATCTTCTTGTTGGAATGTATTTGCTGTATCTGTCATAACTTTATTGTAAACTATGATCTGACGTAAATTCTAAAAAGCTAGTTGAAAAGACTATGTACTAAGGATTATTTTTTTTGCTTTAAAGAATGAGTATGAATTTGATGTGAATGTTGATGTATCTAATTCCGTTAGTAATTCTTTTCTCAGATCTTTAAGCTTGTAGGATCCATCTCTATTACCCTACCTTTCTTAGGCAATTATTGGCAGTTTTTTTCTTAGTGTGTTACAATTGCTTTTTGATGGGACATAACCTTAATTCCGATGGATGTATGAATATTTGCAGTAATTATAAGATGTGCTCTTTATTAAAGAGTTATTGGTTCCGTTTGTTTCCGTAGAATATATGATTAGATAAGGTGCAGTGTGATTCTTTGCTTTGCAAAAACAACCTAATTGGTGGGGTGTATATCTAAGTATTGTCATTGTTTTGTTGACCATTATATTTCGTTGCCATTGATTTCATCTAGGAAAGAATTTTTTGTTGTCCATGAAACTTGTGCCATTTTTTCAAAAATTGTTTTGTTTATCTATTTATCAATTCCCCTGCCCCCCCCCCCTTCTTTTTTTGCACTGTTGTCTTGTTTTATATTGCTATGATGTGATATCTGGATAATTATAATATGAAACTGATGTTTATTGTTTGTGGAACAGCTTCGTAATGTCTTGGATATCATGCGTAGAGGTGAAGGATTACGTTTTGAGGTTAGCTTCTAATTTCAATTCTGCATAAGTGTAAAATATTTAAACAGCTTTTAAGTCATGTATATTGCTGTAGACTCATATACCTGATAGTGCTTTCAGCTATAGCTTTTGATGCCCTAGAATTGGATTGTAAATATCATCTGGATTCTCATTTTGATCTTATGATAATTTTCATTAATTTATTGTGGCTGAATATGCTACTTGGACAAGATTAATGTAATGCCCAAATATGAATGTTCGCAAGGAGAAATAGGAATAAACTTAAGCTGCCTATCTAATTTATATAGACAGAGAGGACTATTTCTGAAAAGGCTGGGTATTAACCAACGCAATTGTTGGGCACCAAGTTAAAAGAACGGAGACCGTAGGAATTTTGAGGGAAAGGGCTGGGTATTAACCAAAGCAATTGTTCCCTTTCCCATAATTTGTTAAACACTCCATATTATTCTTGTGCATTGATCATTACACTTGATAGTCTTTTTAGGATTTGACGATTAGTAATGGATATTTCTAGGCCATGCAAGATTGACTCTTAGAAATATGGTGTCCATTTAAGTAAGGTAAAAAAAATAATACGAACTTTGAGCGGTCTGCCAAAGTAAGTTAACCTTTTGATTATTTTTCAATAATACAAACTTTGAGGGGGTGTTTGCTTTAAACAAGATAATTTACCTATTACGTAGATGATAGATTAACAAACCTTATTTATTTTATTTTTATTTTTTATTGAAAGATTTTTTCACAGTTTAATTAACTCGCCGACGCCCTCCCCCATCCCACCCGTTGCCGTAGTCATTTCCCGAACCACCATCCCTCTATCTCTACAAAACCCCAATGAAACTCCTCCCCTTCCGCAAGGCAGTAACCCCCAACCTCCCCTCCCCCTACCCTCGAAAACCCTAGCCCTCTTTTCACGCATTAAGCTCATGAATACGTTTATTTGCGCGACAACCACTAGAATATTACAGAACGATCTAAAGAGGGTCAGCCCTCTTTACTGGACGGGAAGATGCGAATTGTGAAAGCGGTGCCGAAGATGCTACAATTGCTTCAGCGGGAGGTTATGCTATTTTGGGCTTAGCTCAAACCAAAGCTATCGTGTGCTAGGTGGGGTTGCCGGCCGGGGGGAGAGAGGGGGCTGGGGAGATGCAGGGTGTCGCCGGAGGGTAGGGCGCTGAGGAAGGGGCAGGGGTTGTTGGCAGGGAGGGGAAGGGGGGTGGCTGGTGGGGAAAGGGGCTGTTTCTTTTTTTCTTTCTTTCTTTCTTTTTTTTTAAATAGTAATAATATTAATTAAAGTAATTAATATTATTTAATATCTTTTAAAAATTAAAAACATTAAAAAAAATTCAACTTAAACTATCAAACCCATAAACAATGACGCATGTCCTACATAACCTGTTAACTAAGGTAATAACCGGTCATAACCTGTTTAAATCGGATATTTCCCAAAGTTTGTTGACTTGTTTTTGAAAGACCGTTCAAAGTTTGTATTAGTTTTGACAATTTCTCCTTTAAGTAAACAACTTTTACTGGTTTCATAAGGAATGTGCTACATACCGATTAAAGATGCAAGGACAAATTTAATTAGTTACTTCTTGTATGAAATTAGAATGTACCCGTGCTAATGCATGGGATGTATTCTATGTAAGCAAAGACAATCTTAATTTTTGGAGAGGTTATTGGATAGATAGTTATTGGGGGAAGTTTGTTTGTTTTTGTTTATTGATTTTTTTTTTCTTTTTATTTTTTTTTATCTTTATCAGTTTGGTGTTTGTCATTGAGATAAAAAAATTAACAATCATTTTAGAGTTTTACATGACCATTTACAATGAATTTTGGACAAATATCTTTCTTATCATCATTTAAGATGAACATTTCATCAATCATCCTTCAACTGTGGCCATCTTAGTTTATTTGAAACTCCATTGGTTTATCTTCCAAGTAGCGAATACGCCTTCACTAGGGAAAGTTTAACAGGTTTAAGGCAGCCTTTTATTGATTCTCCCAAAATAATCCAACCTTTTGATTATTTTTGAATAATCCAACCTTTGCTACCCATTTTCTCGTAGCACACCCCACCCATACAACCGGGTGCCAATCCACGTGTCACTTCCTTATTGGTTAAGAATTTTTATTTTTAATATTAAAAAAAGTTAATTTAATTTAATCTTTTAGTTCTAATAATAATTAAAAATCAAAAAGCCCTCCTTTCCTCTTCCTCCCTCTTCATGGCCACCATTAACTGACCCCATCCACGGATCCACCACTTCCACTTCCATAGCCACCACTAACATCATCCATAACCTGCCTCACTTCCACCACCCAAGCAGAAAAAAAGCCACCCTTTCCGCCACTTAGACAACCTCTTGCACCACCCCACCTCCACCACCACAAACCTCAAAACCCCACAACCAACATAACCTCACCCCCAACTACCACTGGCCCACTGCACCCCCATTCACGACTTACCCCAAACCCCAAACCCTAGACCATTACCCACCTCCACCCCTAATCCACAACCCAACATCAAAGGCACCTGCCCACCACCCACACCACCTCACCAAATCCTATTTCAACCATTTGCACGAGCACCACCTCCACAACCACGACCAACATCAAATCACTAACGTCAACATTTCTAAACGAGGAGAGAGAAATTGTAGGGGTTTGAGTCTCTTTGGTATTACCATTCATTGGGGTATTGAGTTTTGGGGTGGTTTCTGGCCAAATAGGGTGGTGAGAAGGGTGGGTAGCAGTATCTAGTGGTGGTCGGAAGAGAAGTTGGAGAAGGGGTTGGTTGTGGTTGTGGTTGTGGGGTTGAGGGAAGAAGATGGGTGGGGTTGTTATGCTTGAAGGTGGAAAGTTGTTGAAGAGGGGAGGAGGAAGGAGGAGAGAGATAGGAAGCCATTGTTGATGGTTGGGTAGTGGGTTGGGCTGCCATCCATTGATGAAAGTAAGGAAGAAGAAGAATGAGGAAATAGAGGGAAAAAAAGATAATTTTTTTTTTTATTTTTTTACATGGGTAACCGGTCACATAGGTTTTCTGGAAGAAAATGGGTGGCAAAAGTTAAATTGTCACATAGGTTTGGTGGAAGAAAATGGGTAGAAAAAGTTCAATTGTTTAGAAATAATCGAAAGGTTGGATTATTTTTGGAGAATCGGGCAAAGGTTGGAATATTCTTGTCAAATTTTCCATCATTAGTCATCATCATTACTAGTGTATGTCTTTGATTGTAATAGAAGGAGGTTAAGAATTTAAATTATTATAAAGTACTTTGTAGCAATTTTAGCTGGATTATATGTTGCTGTATAATCTCATGTGTATTACTATAGATTATATCACTATATTGCCAATTTGCTTACCTTGAGTCATTAAAATGTTTATGCTAATGCCACAAAACTCTTAGAAACTATGGGTGCCATGCGAAGGAAATTTCATTCGAACCTTTGATTAAAACCACCATGAGACAACCAGCTTCTTGGAAGAATTCTGTTCTGTATATAACTTGGAAATTTATTATATTGTTTGCAGGATGTTATGATCCTTGACCAATCGGTCTTATTTGGAATGGGTGATGTTCATGATCAGCATAGGGACATGCGACTTGATGTTGATAATATGTCTTATGAGGTAAAGTATATTTTCTTAGTCATGTAGTCTACAGACTAATTACATTGGCAAGGTATATGATATTATGTTCAATTATAGGAGCTATTGGCTCTGGAAGAGCGCATTGGGAGTGTTTGCACTGGATTGACAGAAGATATGATTTTGAATCGTATGAAGCAACGTAAGTATATACATACTATGAGTGATGACCAAATTGAGGCGGAGCCTTGCTGTATCTGTCAGGTAATAAACCTTTCCACCCATATGCATGCTTGAACATCAAATCACTTGCGATTATAATTTACTAATGCTTTCTTGTTTTTTTTTTTTTTTTTTTTTTTTTTTTTTTTTTTTTTTTTTTTTTTGTTGCAACAGGAAAATTATAGTGATGGAGAAGACCTAGGCACCTTGGATTGTGGACATGATTTTCACCGTGAGTGTGTTAAACAATGGCTTTCGCACAAGAATTTGTGCCCCATTTGTAAAACAACAGGTCTAGCTACATAGAAAAAAAAAACACCATTTATTTTTGAAGTCATTGCTTCCTAAAGGAATGCAATAGTGGAACAAGGTAAACTACATCGGAGGTCAGAAATCTGTGGATTATTGTTTGTTTACAAACTTTGTACTTTGAATCATTTGATCGGCTAGAGAATTCCTTATTCTTACATTATAATTGGTAATGTTATGTACCGTAATTCATGATTTTATTTTTCTGCATCTCTTTGGATATTTGCTTTAGTAACCTGTTTAAATAACTCCTGTGCTTGTTACAATAAATCATACTCATACTTCATAAACTTGTAGCATTGTCAGTTTCTGACCTCGCTTGAGTCAGCATGGTCTGGAGGAAGTCCATCTAATATTAGTATTACTATGTGTGTGTTAGTTCACAACATGGTAATTTTGTAGTTTTTTATGGAAACAATAGGATAGTTCTTCGGACAAGATAAAAATAACAGCAAGAAAAGAACAGAAGAGAGAAAGAAGTTAGAGATGGATTGGAAGTGAATAAAGAGAAAAAACAGTGAGGAAGAACACATCATCAAATTCTTCACAAGTAAAAAAATTCAGGTTGAATTTTTACTTAAATAATACTTCATTCAACAATCATCCTATATGTACTAACTACGAAAAGATTATTATATGTACTAACTACGAAAAGATTATCATTATTTTTTTTTTGGGACAAAGAGAACTTCATAAATATAGAGCAATTATAATGTTTAAAGTAAACAAACTAAACGGAAGGTACTATAACAAACCAATACAATAAAACCACAAACTTGGAAAAACTTGCAAAAACACATTTTACATTTTTACTTGTGCTTGCCAAGGCTAGACCAATGGCCAAAAAACGGAAATGACAGCGCCTTAGTAGAGGAATTTTTGCATAGAAATGGAGTCAAAATATTGATGGAATACGTGGAAGTAAGGAACTGCTACTGGCAAAGGATTGCAAAACGCGAGTTGTCTAGACTTGGAGCTCGCTACTGAATGAGTAATCCCAAGGGCCTAAAACCAAATAATGGGATTCTAAACTCACTTTCTTAATTAAGGTCACTCGACCTTTTGACATGATACTTATTGTTGGCTATCTTTGGCCTTTCCTCAAAGGAAGAAGGCACAAACTCGTTAGAGGGCTTTCGAAGTACCTCCTTTAGATATAAGGAAAAAAAAAAGAAAGTAAAGGTAACAACGACCAATGCTAAGTAGAACACCAATCTCTGTCCTTCCAACAACGGAGAATGCAACCCCCGATCAAAGATTGTTAGAAGAAGACCCAAGCATGCAATTTTCATCATTCAATGGAATAGAATTAATGCTCATGATGCCTTGCACACAAGAAAGAGACTCATGCATAGATTTAAGTTTGAAACTAGCTTTCTCCTCACCAACAAATAAAGTAAGAATGCCGGCTTTCACATCAATTAAATCACCTGAAGTGTCTAAGAAAGGTCTCCCTAGAATGATAGGAATGTTATCATCCTCCGCTATATCAAGAACAATGAAGTCAACGGGAATGGTAAACTCTCCTACCTTGAGGGGTACATTGATACGGGATAAAACACGTCGTTATATGTAAACCCCTAAATACAAAACAATTTTGTATTCCTAAGCAAACCTAAAATGCATATAGGGTGAGCGTAGGGTCGAACCAAAGGGAGACACTAAACACTACAAAACACTATCACCAATTAATCTAGCTCGGCAAGTTGAGTGAAAGATCGAACACCAAACAAATTACGATTAATCTAGGGAAGAAATCAAATACAACAAGCACTAAGGAAATAGATTAAGGCACACCGTCACTCAAGCAATAACAAGGGAAAGGAAATGGGAAGCAAGCAAACTAAGCTTTACATGAAAGATGATTAAAAGCATAATCTACTCTCCTATCGGGAGAAATCATTTTCTCAAGCATACACAATCACACCATCAACATAATCATGCATGAAATGAGGTAAATAAATATGAATCATCTAATGAGCATCACTTAATCACACTATCATCATAATCAAGGTCAACTTACCCAATTACAACCATTGATTGGCCACTCAAAAGAAATAGTTGGTAAATCATGAAAGATAAAGACTTTAATCACTAACAACCCTTAGTCCCAATCCCTTAACATGCTCAAGATCAAGCTAAGCCATCACCATCTCCTTAGTTGGAGAATTATTCACTAATCATATTGAAAACCAAGTTAATCATACAATTAACAAGGAATAATATGATTATAAAGAAAATAAAGAAAATAAGCAAGTAAATAAAGAGTTAAGGGAAAGAAATTACTAATGGAGCTTCATTAATCTTCAAAAAGTTGATTACAAATCATCCAAGATCACAAGATTAAGTGTTTCTCTTTCTAAGGTTATTGAAAATTAAGCTACACTAAAATCCTAATTAGTTTCTAAGAAGAGATTCTTAAAGCTATTTATACAAGAAGCTTATAATAGAGAAATCGACTTATCAAGCGCGTCCGCGATATCTGGATACGGGGAAGTAAATCCATAAAATCGCGCCCACGACAAATCGTGTGCGCCGCACAACTGGGATGTGCGCCCACATAAGAGTCGTGATCAGGGGGTGCAACCTTCTTGCCTCTCTGCTGTGCATGTTCAACAGAGGTGCGCGCCCCGCACAAACTTGGTGTACGCCCTCTCAACGACTGTGACACTGGCGCAAACCTACTGCCTCAAATCTTCAAATTGTTGCTCAGCCCTGCACTCTCACACATGAATTTTTGGGCGCTTAACACTACTATGAAAATTGCTTCAAAGCTTCACTCCTTGTTCCATCATCAAGGTTTATCTATAAAAACATGAAAGAAGACGAAGATAAAAAGGTAAAAGCATAAAAGAGGGCACAAAAAAGCTACAAGCATGGGGAAAACCACAAAAACGGGTCCTAAATCGTGGCATAAATGCAACTCATAATACATCCTTAATCCTACCCTTAGGAAACTTAATTAAACGATTGGCCAATTGAAAGGTCATGTTGGTAGGAAGCTGTAGGGAATTTTTCCAACTCCTTAGGCCCTACATGTGGGTCATGTTTTTAAGCATGGCGGCGCTCCAAGGAAAAGAATCTAGAGAAAAAGAGTCGCCAACAAGTTTTAGGAACTTGTAAACCATTCACGGGTGTGAAGGTTACACCCCATTCACAATCACGGAGATTGCTAACTCCACAGTGGTCCAGAACCATGACTGGATGTTCGGGGATGATGGTATGACTTTGACCTAAGAGAGGTCAAACCCGCCCTAAATAGGCCTCTACTTGATTCTTTCGATATTCATGCGCGCTTTTCGATCAATATACATACATCAAGTTAATCCTAAACCTGTTTAATCTATGTTAGTTGATTGTTAATGCATAATATTGGTGATCACTTGAATTAAAATCATATTAAGCCTAAATTCAAATTATTAATTATCTTATTAGGCGTGATTTCAAGTACAAATTTCCTTTAAACCCGCTAAAGGGGCGTGATCAAGAAATAACAATAAATCATGAATAATCAAACAACATATGATCAAAATAACAATCATCATCATAAGAATATCATCAAATCATCATTAGTAGTAAGATCCTAGGCATGCTACTAAACGGATTAATAACAACTCCTAGCATGTTACTAATAACAAAATAAAAGCGTTATCCTAAACATGATACTAGAAAGTCTAATAACATCCTAGACATGATACTAGAAATCAAAATAACATCCTAAGCATGATTTTTACTCCAAATTCAAAAGAATAGTAAAAAGGGTAATTAAATTACTCACTTTGATGTCTCAACCTTCTTGCTATTAAAACAATACACACGTTAGTAAATTTTAAGAAAGTTAAATAAATAAAGTAAATAAATCAAATATGAATTGAAATATAGATTTGGGACCAAACCCTTAGAACTATCAACCTTTCACGTCGAGGTTGAAGGCAACGTCGAGTACGGTTTAGAGTATCTGAATCACGCGAAGGAAGTATTGTGTTTGATTAAGGAGTATCAAGGATATTTTTTAGGCTAAGAGCATTGGTTTAAGAATTCTCTCGAATTCTAGGGAATTAGGATGACTAATGATGCTAATTGTGGCTAATTCTTGATGGGTGTGACTAAGGATTCTTGATGATTGTAGCTCAAGATTATGGTGGTTGAAGCTGATTTCAAAATGGGGAAAACGACCTCTATTTATAAGTAAAAAAGAGAGTCTGGACGATCAGAAAAGATCAGAAGTTCAAAATAAAATAGAACAACTTTTGACGCGACGCGATAGGATTGTCGCGCCGCGTTAAGACTGTCGCAGTTTAATGGTCCTGGCGTTGCGCGCTGGTTATAAAGGATATTAAAGCCGTACGGAGTTTGATTTCTAATGGAGTTATGTTTGTAGAAGATATCCAAACGTCTTCGTATCCGAATAGAACAAGGATTATTTTATGAGAAGTTTTATTCAATCTCGAACTTCTTTGATCTTTATCTTTTTGGAAGGGATAAATTAGAACGTTCTAGAGGATTCTAGAAGTTTCTAACTTATTTAGGATTGGGAATATGATCATATAGGGCCTAAATAAAATATTTGGACCCCTCATAACCATTGGGTCGTAGCTAAGGTGGACCTAGGCTCAGTTTGGACTTGGTTTAGTATTTTGGCCATAACTTATTCGTTTTAAGTCGGAATTGGGCTTATAATATATCGTTGGAAAGATCTTTTCAAACCCCATCTAACTAAGCAATAATTGTACTGGGAATATGGACCAAAATAATCTGGTTTGGACGGTTTTTATAGTTTGGGCACGAAAGGAATGATTTTTAAGGACACAAAATGAATGATTTTGGGTTTAAAGACACGAAATGAATGGTGTTGGATTAAAACATCTTAGGTAAGGTTAGAAATATGGTCAAGGCTTAAGAAAACTTCACGTGACTCTTCAACTCTTCATTGAACTCGTCAATCAAAGACGTGAAAGGTACTCATCACTGGGTTTGGTTTTTTGGGGAGACACAATCAGGTACCTACAGAAGCCCCCACTTTTCCTGAGTTTGGAGAAACATAAGTTTCGAAAACAAAAGTCAAAGTAAGTTGATAGGGATAAAGAATAATTCAGAACATTCTGCGATCTTAAATCATCCTTTTTCACGCCGATACCTGCAGAAAGTGTTAGTTCTACAAATAAAGGAGTTATGGGGAAATAAACGCGTATCTAGGTTTGCTGAGCACA